GTTTGATTCCATTCCATTTAGTGGTTCTCTAAAAGAAGACATTTGTATGTATTTCCCATAGGGTCCTATGTTAAACTAAGTCCCCCGCTGGCGGCCATCTTGGATGATGGACCAACTGCAAAGTAACAACATTTGGTCAGCACCTCATAAGGAACATTCATGCCATGTTTGGTTTCATTCCATTCACTGGTTCTCTAAAAGAAGACATTTGTATGTATTTCCCATAGGGTCCTATGTTAAACTAAGTCCCCCACTGGCGGCCATCTTGGATGATGGATCGGCTTAAAGTAATAACAATTGGTCAGCACCTCATAAGAAACATTCATGCCAAGTTTGGTTTCATTCCATTCAGCGGTTCTCTAAAAGAAGACATTTGTATGTATTTCCCATAGGGTCCTATGTTAAACTAAGTCCTCGGCTAGCGGCCATCTTGGATGATGGATCGGCTGCAAAGAAACAACACTTGGTCAACACCTCATAAGGAACATTCATGCCATGTTTGGTTTCATTCAATTCAGTGGTTTTCTAAAAGAAGACATTTGTATGTATTGTCCATACGGTCCTATGTTAAACTAAGTCCTCGGCTAGCGGCCATATTGGATGATGCATCGGCTGCAAAGAAACAACACTTGGTCAACACCTGATAAGGAACATTCATGCCATGTTTGGTTTCATTCAATTCAGTGGTTCTCTAAAAGAAGACATTTGTATGTATTTCCCTTAGGGTCCTATGTGAAACTAAGCCCCCCGCTGGCGGCCATCTTGAATGATGGACCGACTGCAAAGTAACAACACTTGGTCAGCACCTCATAAGGAACATTCATGCCATGTTTGGTTTCATTCAATTCAGTGGTTCTCTAAAAAAGCCATTTGTATGTATTGTCCATACGGTCCTATGTTAAACTAAGTCCTCGGCTAGCGGCCATCTTGGATGATGGATCGGCTACAAAGAAACAACACTTTGTCAACACCTCATAAGGAACATTCATGCCATGTTTGGTTTCATTCCATTCACTGGTTCTCTAAAGGAAGACATTTGTATGTATTTCCCTAAGGGTCCTATGTTAAACTAAGTCCCCTGCTGGCGGCCATCTTGGATGATGGACAGACTGCAAAGTAACAACACTTGGTTAGCACCTCATAAGGAACATTCATGCCATGTTTGGTTTCATTCCATTCAGTGGTTCTCTAAAAGAAGACATTTGTATGTATTTCCGATAGGGTCCTATGTTAAACTAAGTCCCCCGCTGGCAGCCATCTTGGATGATGGACCAACTGCAAAGTAACAACATTTGGTCAGCACCTCATAAGGAACATGCATGCCAAGTTTGGTTTCATTCCATTCAGTGGTTCTCTAAAAGGAGACATTTGTATGTATTTCCCATATGGTCCTATGTTAAACTAAGTCACCCACTGGCTGCCATCTTGGATGATGGATCGGCTTAAAGTAATAACACTTGGTCAGCACCTCATAAGGAACATTCATGCCAAGTTTGGTTTCATTCCATTCAGTGGTACTCTAAAAGAAGACATTTGTATGTATTTCCCATAGGGTCCAATGTTAAACTAAGTCCCCCCCCCCTGGCGGCCATCTTGGATAATGGACTGACTGCAAAGTAACAACACTTGGTCAGCACCTCATAAGGAACATCCATGCCATGTTTGGTTTCATTCAATTCAGTGGTTCTCTAAAAGAAGACATTTGTATGTATTTCCCTTAGGGTCCTATGTTAAACTAAGTCCCCCGCTGGCAGCCATCTTGGATGATGGACCGACTGCAAAGTAACAACACTTGGTCAGCACCTCATAAGGAACATTCATGCCATGTTTGGTTTCATTCAATTCAGTGGTTCTCTAAAAGAAGACATTTGTATGTATTGTCCATACGGTCCTATGTTAAACTAAGTCCTCGGTTAGCGGCCATCTTGGATGATGGATCGGCTGCAAAGAAACAACACTTGGTCAACACCTCATAAGGAACATTCATGCCATGTTTGGTTTCATTCAATTCAGTGGTTCTCTAAAAGAAGACATTTGTATGTATTTCCCTTAGGGTCCTATGTGAAACTAAATCCCCCGCTGGCGGCCATCTTGGATGATGGACCGACTGCAAAGTAACAACACTTGGTCAGCACCTCAAAAGGAACATTCATGCAATGTTTTGTTTCATTCCATTCAGTGGTTCTCTAAAAGAAGACATTTGTATGTATTTCCCTTAGGGTCCTATGTTAAACTAAGTCCCAAGCTGTCGGCCATGTTGGATGATGGACCGACTGCAAAGTAACAACACTTGGTCAGCACCTCATAAGGAACATTCATACCATGTTTGGTTTCATTCCATTCACTGGTTCTCTAAAGGAAGACATTTGTATGTATTTCCCATAGGGTCCTATGTTTAACTAAGTCCCCTGCTGGCGGCCATCTTGGATGATGGACAGACTGCAAAGTAACAACACTTGGTTAGCACCTCATACGGAACATTCATGCCAGGTTTGGTTTCATACCATTCACTGGTTCTCTAAAAGAAGACATTTGTATGTATTTCCCTAAGGGTCCTATGTTAAACTAAGTCCCCTGCTGGCGGCCATCTTGGATGATGGACAGACTGCAAAGTAACAACACTTGGTTAGCACCTAATAAGGAACATTCATGCCATGTTTGGTTTCATTCCATTCAGTGGTTCTCTAAAAGAAGACATTTGTATGTATTTCCGATAGGGTCCTATGTTAAACTAAGTCCCCCGCTGGCGGCCATCTTGGATGATGGACCAACTGCAAAGTAACAACATTTGGTCAGCACCTCATAAGGAACATGCATGCCAAGTTTGGTTTCATTCCATTCAGTGGTTCTCTAAAAGGAGACATTTGTATGTATTTCCCATATGGTCCTATGTTAAACTAAGTCACCCACTGGCTGCCATCTTGGATGATGGATCGGCTTAAAGTAATAACACTTGGTCAGCACCTCATAAGGAACATTCATGCCAAGTTTGGTTTCATTCCATTCAGTGGTACTCTAAAAGAAGACATTTGTATGTATTTCCCATAGGGTCCAATGTTAAACTAAGTCCCCCCCCCCTGGCGGCCATCTTGGATAATGGACTGACTGCAAAGTAACAACACTTGGTCAGCACCTCATAAGGAACATCCATGCCATGTTTGGTTTCATTCAATTCAGTGGTTCTCTAAAAGAAGACATTTGTATGTATTTCCCTTAGGGTCCTATGTTAAACTAAGTCCCCCGCTGGCGGCCATCTTGGATGATGGACCGACTGCAAAGTAACAACACTTGGTCAGCACCTCATAAGGAACATTCATGCCATGTTTGGTTTCATTCAATTCAGTGGTTCTCTAAAAGAAGACATTTGTATGTATTGTCCATACGGTCCTATGTTAAACTAAGTCCTCGGTTAGCGGCCATCTTGGATGATGGATCGGCTGCAAAGAAACAACACTTGGTCAACACCTCATAAGGAACATTCATGCCATGTTTGGTTTCATTCAATTCAGTGGTTCTCTAAAAGAAGACATTTGTATGTATTTCCCTTAGGGTCCTATGTGAAACTAAATCCCCCGCTGGCGGCCATCTTGGATGATGGACCGACTGCAAAGTAACAACACTTGGTCAGCACCTCAAAAGGAACATTCATGCAATGTTTTGTTTCATTCCATTCAGTGGTTCTCTAAAAGAAGACATTTGTATGTATTTCCCTTAGGGTCCTATGTTAAACTAAGTCCCAAGCTGTCGGCCATGTTGGATGATGGACCGACTGCAAAGTAACAACACTTGGTCAGCACCTCATAAGGAACATTCATACCATGTTTGGTTTCATTCCATTCACTGGTTCTCTAAAGGAAGACATTTGTATGTATTTCCCATAGGGTCCTATGTTTAACTAAGTCCCCTGCTGGCGGCCATCTTGGATGATGGACAGACTGCAAAGTAACAACACTTGGTTAGCACCTCATACGGAACATTCATGCCAGGTTTGGTTTCATACCATTCACTGGTTCTCTAAAAGAAGACATTTGTATGTATTTCCCATAGGGTCCTATGTTAAACTAAGTCCCCGCTGGCGGCCATCTTGGATGATGGATCGGCTACAAAGTAACACTTGGTCAGCACCTCATAAGGAACATTCATGCCATGTTTGGTTTCATTCCATTCACTGGTTCTCTAAAAGAAGACATTTGTATGTATTGTCCATACGGTCCTATGTTAAACTAAGTCCTCGGCTAGCGGCCATCTTGGATGATGGATCGGCTGCAAAGAAACAACACTTGGTCAACACCTCATAAGGAACATTCATGCCATGTTTGGTTTCATTCAATTCAGTGGTTCTCCAAAAGAAGACATTTGTATGTATTTCCCTAAGGGTCCTATGTTAAACTAAGTCCCCCGCTGGCGGCCATCTTGGATGATGGACCGACTGCAAAGTAACAACACTTGGTCAGCACTTCATAAGGAACATTCATGCAATGTTTTGTTTCATTCCATTCAGTGGTTCTCTAAAACTAGACATTTGTATGTATTTCCCTTAGGGTGCTATGTTAAACTAAGTCCCCAGCTGTCGGCCATGTTGGATGATGGACCGACTGCAAAGTAACAACACTTGGTCAGCACCTCATAAGGAACATTCATGCCATGTTTGGTTTCATTCCATTCACTGGTTCTCTAAAGGAATACATTTGTATGTATTTCCCATAGGGTCCTATGTTAAACTAAGTCCCCCGCTGGCGGCCATCTTGGATTATGGATCGGCTACAAAGTAACAACACTTGGTCAGCACCTCATAAGCAACATTTAAGCCATGTTTGGTTTCATTCCATTCAGTGGTTCTCTAGAAGAAGTTCAAAATGTAAAAAGTTAACGACGACAACAGACGACGATGGACGACGGACGCCAAGTGATGAGAAAAGCTCACTTGGCCCTTTGGGCCAGGTGAGCTAAAAAGGAAAAAAAATCCCCCCCCCCCCCAATTTTTTGAACCCCCTTATGATTCATCACCCCCAAACTCAATCCCAGCCTTCCCTTTTTGGCCCCTTATTCCTAAACGTTTTGGGCAATTACCCCCAAACTCAATTCCAGCTTTTCCTTTGTGATATGGAACCTTGCAGTACAATTTCAGAAAGATCCATACACTTACACATAAGTTATTGTCATGAAACAAGAAAAATGCTTGTTTTTTGCCCCTTTTTTGGCCCCTAATTCCTAAAATTTGAGGCGATTACCCCTAAAATCAATCCCAGCATTCCCTTTGTGATATGGAACCTTGTAGTACAATGTCAGCGAGATCCATACACTAACACACAAGTTATGTCTGGAAGTTACAAAAATGCTAATTTTTGGCCCCTTTTTGGCCCCTAATTCCTTAACTGTTGGTACCATAACCCCCAAAATCAATCCCAACCTTCCTTTTGTGGTATTGGACCTTATGGTAAAATTTCATAGAGATCATTCACTTAAACTAAAGTTAGATTGCGAAAATCAATATGTCTTCGGACGACGACGCCGGACGACAACGACGATATCATACCAATATACGACCGCAAAATTTTTTTGCGGTCGTATACAAAGAAGGGGGTGGGGTTAACCACCGTGGACTTCCGTTAAATTTCATTTCATTTGTTTTATTGTCCCAAAAAAGATTATATATAGTTTAGGGGTGGGGATCTCAACCGTTTACAAGTTTTCAAAAAGAAGGGGGTGGGGTTTACCCTTGTGGATTTCCCCTAAATTTTATTTGATTTGTTTTATTGTCAAATACAAGAATAAATATGGTTTAGGGTTGGGGATCTCAACCATTTACAATTTCTCAAACAGAAGGGGGTGGGGGGTTACCACAATGGACTTCCCCTTTATTTCATTTGATTTCTTTTATTGTCCCATACAAAAATATATATGGTTTAGGGGTGGGGATCTCGACCGTTTACAAGTTCTCAAACAGGCACGCTGGGGGTGACCCCAGGGGACTCACCTTTTATTTCATTTAATTTGTAACATACAAGAATATATATGGTTTCAGGGTGGGGAGTTTGCACATTTACAAGTTTTCAAAAAAAAGGAGGGTAGCTGTGAACCCGAGGACTATCCCAATATTTCATTTGATTTGTTTCATTGTCCCATACAAGAATATATATGGTTTAGGAGTAGGGATCTCAACAGTTTACAAGATAAAAGCACATTATCAAATTGAAAAGGGGGTAGGGTTAAGAATATATATGATTAACGGACACTTAATTATCTACAAAATGTCTAATAATGAACAGTAAATTCCAAACTTCATTTATACAGTAATACTAGTAAGTTTCAAACTGTATATATACAGTCCTACAGATCTTATCAGAAAACAGAAAATTTTCAAATAAATCTGTCACTCCAATGATTATCATATGCTAAAATATTTCCAAGATCTAATTAATAATGAAAATAAATCATTATCATATGCTGAAATATTTATAATATCTAATTGAACAGAACTATGGTTGTTTAATATAGTACTCTAACATAATTAATAATGTAATAATCTTTAAAATGTCTAATGATATAGCTTATAATCATTACCACTTAGGAAATAGATAATTTTCAAATAAATCTGTCACTCCAATTTTTATTCTGAGATAAGACAAATCATAACATGATAACAACAGTAAAATATTTAAAAATTCTACTTTTGGATATTAAAAATGGCGATAACTCACAAAGGAGATATACTAAAATCTTGAAAATTAACAGAGACCTTCATTAAGTCCCAGGAAACAACATATTTAAATTAGAAAAAAATTTGTTAAAGCGTTTTCATGTTATTGTGCTGACACTGTTTAGCAGCCGCCCGAATCGCCCAGCCGCCCGCCGTATATCACCATTTTAATAACCGATATTTCCTTCGAAATTCCGGTTAATAAAATGTAACGAACAGTTTTGAGCAGTACAGGTGGAGGTTACAAAAATATGTTTAACCATTTCAGGCAGAAAATCATGGGGAGGAAAGCAACTGAAAGATGAACTTGGGACAGCAAATGTGCTAACCAGTGTTCGGAAGTATGCCACAAACTTTTAGCACACAATAGATAAAATATATTGATTTAGATATAAATTTTGACTTCTCTTCAAGTATGCGTCACATGATTTGTGTAGACAATTTAATGATAAAATTAATTATTAGCTATGTTTTTGCTAAATAAAGTTGATATAATGTTGTTTTATTCCCGTGATAAATCCTGCTTTATAAGAACACCGGCACTCTAGCATAATGTTATTGTGGTTACAGTGTTAATCTTCTACAACAAGTTCAGCCGAAAATAAACCCGACTGGTCCCTATGTGTACTTCCAAATTTCTCCACCTAGGCCAGAAGCTATATGTCAAGCATAAATATAATCGACTAATTTTTACTTCTTGGACACTGTTCCGACATCAGATAAATGAATGAATGATTGTTGGGAGAAATTTCTAAGTTTGTCATGATGTGAACAAGTTATATTTTATGAAATGAGATGGACCCTGCTCAGTACTATAAATAGACACATACGCTGGACCTTTTTATATCGCCCATGAACACCCCATAAAAAGACATTTTCTTCCACTAAAACCCATTAATATGCTTATCTGAACCATCCAATCTGACTCCATACTGTTACGTGCTAATCGGAGAATTGGCAACTGTAAAATTAGATTTTAAAAAATCTTTGGTTTGACCTGAACAGAAATTAAACGATCTTCCAAATGCGAGGCTAGCAGCTACTTTGGTCAAATCTTAATGATGTTATTTCATGCAGCCCATGTACATTTTGCATTTTACTCAATGTCACAGGAAGACCATCCCACTTCAGTGTAGCCACCATCGCAGGTCAGAGTAGCTATCAACAAGTTAATGTCACAATGTCACCATCGCACTTCAGCGTGTTAACCAACGCACTTTAGCGTGGACCATCGCACTTCAGCGTGACCACTGGGTTCGTAGTACCAACGCTGTTATGAATCCTACATATATATATATATATACACAGCCATGTATCACCATCACTGCTGGTGATCCAATGAATAAATCTGTTGTAGAGTCGTCACTGGTTCAGACGTACTTATAAATATAATTATTTCTGTGACTGTATCTTGCATTAATTTTTAGGATCCTTTACAATAGATATATTTATAGATTATTGCTATTTTACCTATGACGATGTTGTCAATTTCATGTCAATTTCATTAGCAACGGCACATGCCTCCTTAGTTTCTAGCAATAATTTTCATATCACTCGACTCCGCTGAGAAAGGAAATTATCAGTCAGTAAGATCAAAGGAAATTTTTCATAAAATAGCGATAATGCAGCTTATCTGTAACAATTCCATATTCATGCCTTATATATCATGTAGTGTATTACGATGCTAGATTAAAACTGATGAGGAAAGGTAATACCCGGCCACCAAAAGCTTTATTTTTAAGCCTAGGTGGTCGTGTGGTCTAGCGCGTCGGATACAGTGTAGGCGATATGGTGTCACGATATCTCAGTAGCATGAGTTCGAATCCCAGCGAGGGAAGAACAAAAAAATTTGTTTTTACAGATCTAACATTGTTGGGCTGATGTTTAGACGAGTTGTATATATATATATATGACAACAATCTTAAAGCACCTAGGACATATTAAAGACTTACTAATGCAACATTTTCATTACATAGCAGAAGAGTTCACTGGTATTCTTCCTCGTTCACTGCATCAATTAGTTGACAGTTAGTTGACCTATAAATAAATTTATTTTAAAAGATTTCACATTGAAGTATATTGCCTTGATTGCAAAAGTTAAAAATTCGAATACAAGTTACAATGTTAACAAGTCTGTTAATATCCTCCTAAAATACTTGTACCTTCCTATCTGCAAAACAATTGCTCTTATATGAAAATGTCTATGTGGGAAGGATTTTGATTAGTTTTAATTTTCCCATAATTTTTTTATATATACTGTTATAGGTTTATATCTTTGTAATGTTTGCATCTAACTCCTTCTCACCACCTTGAAGATGTTTCTATACCTCCTATACATAATCATGTGTCTCTTTTTGCCTGTTTGCACTGACTGTTGTAATAGAGCTGTTGATGTAAATTGTTCCAGTTAATCCTATAGTCAGCTGATTTAAAGTTAGGGTTTTTCAGGGAAAAAAACATTCTTTCACATTTTCCATAGGCTCAAATATAAAATAAGTCAATGGCGAGGAAAGAAAAAAGTAACAACTCCATGTATGAATTTTATAATTAACTTATGTTTCTAATATGGTTAAAATGGGTTGAGTAATCATCATGAACATGATTTTTTCTGTATATTTTCAAACAAAATATGAAGCACTCAGGTCTTCTACTTTCTGAAATATACATTTGTACACAAATAGTTTACTCTGCTGTCAATGCCGACAGATAGCAATCCTTATATCTTGCATTCTGCAGCTTTCTCAGAAATTAATGGAACTTTAAACTATTTTGAGAGTAAAATGTAACTGTCTTGTTTGATAAAATAGAAGATTTAGATCACAATAGCTATAAATCTGATGTTTGGACCATGCGAAATCAATATGTTTACTCGATTTATCTCAGAACATAAATGAAACTCACCTAAATCAAATTGGTAAAAGAACTTCCCCACTTTAGTAATTTCTTGTATTGCCAATGGACATTGATAAACGTGTTTGTTAACTTCTTCAGAATGTCCCATATGTCTTCTCTTGTAGCACCTCCAAAGTGGCAAATACAGTTGACATGTAATGCCTCATCTGAGTAATCCTTTTTGATAATTCTGCCTTCTTTCAAATTTTGTTTACACTTTTCCAGCCGCATACATGAAAGTTTGAATCTTTAATATAAGGGAAATACATATAAATTAGTTTGTTTAACACCTGCTGCTTGTCTAATGTACTGATCTGTTAGCTTTGTCATGGCCTTCCATGTGTCTTCAGGGATGAGAATTGAGAGAAGTTGACTAACACATTTACCAGATTGATATGTCAATTTATATTTCTGAAAAAGTTCCCACTCCTCTGGGTTTTTTACCTTTTTCATTTGGTTTTCATCTACCCATGCATCCTCCTTTGCATCTATCCATTCCTTTAAAGTGAGTCTGCTTG